ATCATATTAAAATCATTTTATGCCTCATTTGCCTGTAACATTAGCACCACTTTATGTGTTATTGTGTCATAAAGTCACTTGGAATTGGTCAGCAGATGGAGAAGCAGATCTCAATAGCTTTACACTGATGATAAATGTTTTCCACTTTTATAGCACATTACCTCTTCTCTAAGAATGTGATGTATTGCAGTATAGAGTTAGAGTACCTATTCTCACTGATTCCTAGATAATACTGAGAGGCCAGTTGAGTTCACATTTTATACTCAGAGTGATACTGTCAATTTTAGGATGGTTGTCTCAGGCTTGGTGCAGGGCAACCAAATCTAAAGCCGATGCAACACCTTGATTTAGGGTTTATATAGAAGAATGAAGTGAGACAACATTTGCTGGCTGAAATAAACAATTTGGTTTAACTCCCTATCCGTTCCATAATTAACTACTAATTAGTGAACCCAACAGCAGCCGCAGCAAGTTTGGATTAGGTTCCTGACGCTGAGAAACAGATTTCTCTTGCTGTGTTAACTTCTTTAGGTGCCAAACCACAAGTCACTATAAATGGCCCAGTCCAGTGTATGGTCTAATCAGCTCTGGCTTCTGGTTCTACTACTCATCAAACTGAGGCCATGAAAACTGGAAAGGCTAAAGAATGAGATTTGATGATTAGGGTGGTACACCCCATGAAGACAAAAGATGTAAATGCATATATCACCATACCTATCTCTTCCATAGCAACTATAATGCAGTGAAAAGAAATAATTTTGAAGCAGCTAGGAATAGTAGTGCATTTTGATATAGACTTGAGTTGGATATACAGTCAAATCAGGCTAAAACAATCCCCAAATTAGCGGACACCTCTGTATAATGTACAGTGGCTTTTGTCCTGTCATAAGGCCATTGGGTACTGTATAAAAAACCTCTGTATAGCGGAAACAATCTATTCTGTATAATGGACAAGATTTATTGTCCCCATGTATCTACACGTGTACAAATTAACCTCCAGTAGACGAAGGCAGCCCACTCAATGGACGTTCTAATTAATACGCTTCAAGTAATTGGCGGATTTTGGTCTCATTTGCATGGGATAAACTTCGACTTAACGACACTTCTGTGAAAAGGACAGTGATGGTTGGCCCATAGGTGTCCATCTTAGAGGGGTTTTACTTTATGTCATCTGGCTCTACAAGAACATGCTTCAATGAGAATAATGACACGAAAGTAGAATTGAGCAATATTGTTACTAAATGGGATATATTGTTGTGTGATGGAGTTTGTCCACTGCTAAACCTATCATTTTGGACAGTGATTGTCAATCTGCTGAATATATTGACAAACCTTTCAAAACAAACTACAAGGCAGGGTAATTCAGAGTGAAAGAAAAGAGAGAAGAAAAAAAATCAATAGACTCACAAGTGAAATACAATCTAGCACAACTCTGAATACAATATGGGGCAGTACTGGTTCTGGGCAAAGACACTGTGTAATAAAACACATCATAGGAAGGATGAGCTCCTGGAGGATTGATTCAGAGTGGAAAAGGACGGGCTGCAGAAACTTGAGAGAAGGTAAAAGGTGTTACTGATATGGCAACAGCTTTTGCTATAGCACTTAAAGCTTCAAAGACTGAAAATTGTGTAAAACCAGCAACTTCTGCAGATAAGGTTTCTGAAAAAATTTCTTCTGCACATAAATTGAGTTGCAAGACAAGCTTTTGAAGTACTTCACAGAATGTGTGCTAGTGGTGCAGTTACCAAATATCAATTTCAGGCCTGACGAGAATCAATTCTCAAGCAATTAGATGAGTTAGATCAGTAATTTTATGCATGTAACTTATGACAATTGTCAGCATAATATTGATGAAAATACATAAACAATTGCACATACATAGTGGAGCATAATTGTTTTGACTAAAATTTATT